TTACTAATAGTTTTATCCTCTATAAAAACAAATTCCCAATCCAAACCAAAAATTAAACAGGTGAACAGGACATGGAACGTCAGTTCAAGTTGCCCAGCACCACCTTCATTGGTGGCGATGAGGCCTCTCTGCCGCTCAAGTAAGTCGAATCACTAGACACCAGTTTATATTCGGTTATATTCATCGTCCTCTTCCTTTTCAGGGAAATTCTGAATCGTCTGGAGAATGTTTATTGCAATAAAATTGGCGTAGAATTCATGTTCATCAACTCCTTGGAGCAGTGCAACTGGATTCGCAAGCGCTTTGAGACGCCGGGCGTTCTCAGCTTCTCGCCAGAGGAGAAGCGTTTGATTTTGGCCCGTTTGACGCGTGCCACCGGCTTTGAAGCCTTTTTGGCCAAGAAGTACTCCTCGGAGAAGCGTTTTGGCTTGGAGGGCTGTGAGATCATGATTCCAGCCTTGAAGGAAATCATTGATGTGTCCACTGAGCTGGGCGTCGAGTCTGTCATTATGGGTATGCCGCATCGTGGACGTCTTAATACATTGGCAAACGTCTGCCGTAAGCCTCTCAATCAAATCTTTACTCAGTTCGCTGGACTGGAAGCTGCTGATGATGTAAGTCTTAAAGAGAAAGTAACGCTTGCCAGCATTTTTTGAACTTTCCCCTTTTCTTTCAGGGCTCTGGTGATGTGAAGTACCATTTGGGCACATACATTGAGCGTTTGAATCGTGTGACAAACAAGAACATCCGCCTGGCTGTTGTGGCCAATCCTTCTCATTTGGAGGCCGTCGATCCTGTTGTGCAGGGCAAGACTCGTGCCGAGCAATTCTATCGTGGTGACCAGGAGGGCAAGAAGGTGATGTCCATTCTCATCCACGGTGATGCTGCTTTCTGCGGCCAAGGCGTTGTCTATGAAACGATGCACTTGTCGGATCTGCCCGACTACACGACGCACGGTACAATCCACGTGGTGGCCAACAACCAAATTGGTTTCACCACAGATCCACGTTTCTCGCGCTCCTCGCCCTACTGCACGGATGTTGCACGTGTCGTCAATGCACCCATTTTCCACGTCAATGCTGACGATCCTGAGGCCGTTATGCATGTGTGCAAGGTGGCTGCCGAATGGCGTGCCACTTTCCACAAGGATTGTGTTATTGATTTGGTTGGCTATCGTCGCAACGGCCACAACGAGATCGATGAGCCGATGTTCACACAGCCCCTTATGTACCAGAAGATTCGCAAGCACAAGAATTGCCTGGATCTGTACGCTGATAAGCTGATTGCTGAGGGCACCGTTACCGCTGAGGAGGTCAAATCTGTGGCCGCCAAGTACGAGAACATTTGCGAGGAAGCCTTTGCGCTGGCCAAGACCGAGACCCACGTCAAGTACAAGGATTGGTTGGACTCACCATGGTCCGGCTTCTTCGAAGGCAAGGACCCACTGAAGGTGGCGCCTACCGGTGTCAAGGAGGAAACTCTGATTCATATTGGCAATCGTTTCTCTTCACCACCACCCAATGCTGCTGAATTCGTTATTCACAAGTGAGTAAACCACACATACTAATCCATATATCATTTACCAACTATGCTCTATTCATTATTCAGGGGTCTCTTGCGTGTTTTGGCTGCTCGCAAAGCCATGGTTGATGAGAAGGTCGCCGATTGGGCTTTGGGCGAGGCCATGGCTTTTGGTTCGCTGCTGAAGGAAGGCATCCATGTGCGTCTCTCCGGCCAGGATGTCGAGCGTGGCACCTTCTCGCATCGTCACCATGTGCTGCACCATCAGCTGGTGGACAAGGCCACCTACAACTCGCTGCAGCACATGTACCCGGATCAGGCGCCCTACTCCGTATCGAACAGCTCGTTGTCTGAGTACGCTGTGCTAGGTTTCGAGCACGGTTACTCTATGACCAATCCCAATGCTTTGGTGTTGTGGGAGGCTCAGTTCGGTGATTTCAGCAATACGGCACAGGCCATCATCGATCAGTTCATCTCCAGTGGTCAGTCGAAATGGGTGCGCCAATCGGGCTTGGTTATGCTGTTGCCCCACGGCATGGAGGGAATGGGCCCCGAGCATTCGTCGTGCCGCGTCGAGCGTTTCCTCCAGATGAGCTCCGACGATCCCGATTACTTCCCACCCGAGTCCGATGAGTTTGCTATCAGACAATTGCACGACATCAACTGGATTGTGGCCAACTGCACGACGCCTGCGAATCTGTTCCACATCTTGCGCCGTCAAATCGCTTTGCCTTTCCGCAAGCCTCTAATTCTTCTTACCCCCAAGTCGCTGCTGCGCCACCCGGAGGCAAAGAGTCCTTTCAGCGATATGAGCGAGGGCAGCGAGTTCCAGCGCATCATACCCGATCGTGGACCCGCCGGTGACAACGCCAGCAACGTTAAGAAGGTCGTCTTCTGCACAGGTCGTGTCTACTACGACCTGACTAAGGCGCGTGCCGAGAAGCAGCTGGAGAAGGACATTGCCATCGTGCGTGTGGAGCAGGTGCGTCTCTGGCTTAATATTTTATGCAATACAATTTCATTAAATTGAGTTCTCGCTTTGTAGGTGTCACCCTTCCCCTTCGACCTGATTAAGGAGCAGGCCAATCTTTATAAGAACGCAGAGCTTGTCTGGGCACAGGAGGAGCACAAGAATCAGGGCTGCTGGACATATGTACAGCCCCGTTTCCTCACCGCCCTCAACCACAGCCGTGATATCAGGTGCGTAGTTAGCTTTAAGCAACCATCCTAGCTACACAGAGAAACACAGAAATCCGCCCCATATGCCACAAGTTGCACTCTGTTTACTCTCTCTCTTACTCTTGCTCTGTCTCTTATATTTCTCTCTATGAATTTGTGAGCTGATTTCTGCAGCTTTCCTTTTATTTCGTTGATTTTCTGTGGTTTCAATTAATTTAATTTCAATCTACTGCACTTAATGCATTCTGGTTATTTTATTATTTAGTCACTCTTTTCAAGTGCTCTGAGGCACTCTCTCTCTTTTGGTATTCTTTGAATTTGATTTGGTTCTCTCGTAAATTTAAACTATTTCCAGTTGTTGCCTTAATATCACATTTGTTTTTAACATTCCTCATGCTCATCGCACTCAGCACTGCCATCGCTTAAGCTAATCTTTTTTTCCAGCTTTTACTAATTTTCATTTGAGTATCGTAGCGTGTTTAGAGTATACCTATCTATCTTTACCTCTTAGCTGCGATCCTTCTGTTACTCTCTTCCTCTCTATCTCTCTTCGAGCAGACCAACTCTTAGATCTCTATACAAAACACACACACACACACACTCATAGTACAACAGACTGTTATAAAAGTGACTTGCGTGTAAACTAGTTCATTGGCTGTGACTTAAACCAAACAAACACAACACACACAACAACACACACGCACTTGCACACACTCTTATACATACACATATCTCGTATCATATATTTTATAATTTGCATGGCTTTTTTAATTGTTAATTTCTTGAATTTTGATCTCGAACTATTATTATTTAGAGTTTTGTTATCTTATTTAACTGTTGATGTTACCTAAGATCAAGAGTGTTATATTTTTGTTCCTTGATTTCCTTATATATCCCTTCCGTTTGTTTGAGTACCAATTGGCAAAGCAAATATACGTAATATTCAATGTTGAAAAAAGAAAAAACAAAAAACCAAAAACATGTCCTCTCTTTCTCTCTCTCTCTCTCTTTCTCTCTGTGTATGTGTTATTGTTACAGCCAAAGCGATGAACAATCCACCTTCTCCAATACAACTAATACTAATCAAGAATCCGATACCGATTCCGATTCTAACTCCGACAAAAATTCGAAACCCTGGCTAAGTCGCATGTTCGCCAGCGATAAAACTGATACCGTTACAACGGGATCGGGCACCGTTACGGGCGAGTTTAATGCCGCCAAGCATTTCGATTTAAAGAACGTACGACACGATTTCAATAGGCCCGCAGGCATTGCGGCCGCCCCCGGCGTGCGCATAGCAAAAACCGGACGTAAAATTAGGTGAGAGGGCAGAGATATCTCGTAATACTACTGCATACTCGATGCGCGTCAATTGAACTACTTAACCTGCCTAACTATAACTATCTACGATATCTATATCTATCTATCTACAACTATCTATCTATATCTATCTGCAAAATATAACAACCAACAATTTGAACAACTCCAAATTCTAACTTTAATACCCTTGTTACGAAATTTTTGGAGTATCTGCATTTTGTTTTTAATACACAATCCTTCCCCTCCATTTGTACCATTTGCGTTTCTTCTTTGTTTATCGTTTGCCGTTTCTCATTCAAGCGCAATTTGGCATGTCTTTTAATTTCATAAGCAAAACAACTCTTATACTCGTTTTGCTCTTATACTACTATCATTCTGTACTACTAATCCACTCTACTCTAGCACCCAAAAGTTCTATTTTTTTAATACTTACTATTTAACTTTATGTTTCTTATTATACTTTCACTTCTGTTCTTAGCACGCGCATTTTTTGTATGTTTTTTATTCACTGATATTACGTACCCCCAAGCTACAGCCTTACTGATCCATAAACGTTTGTATGTTTGTTTAATGTTTGTCTTATATCCGGAGCAAACAGACATACACACACATCCACCTACGTATACATCACAAAATACAATATTTATATCGTCAAGTTACAAAAAAGATCTCCATAGATACTGAAGAGCTATTCATAGACTGAACTTCATTCAAACAAAAGTTGCTTATTGAAAAATTCATTTGTTATAGATTTTCCTCACAGGTCCTCTGTTTACAGGCTATGTGTATATATTTATGTATCTAAGGTTTGGGGTTTTATTATTGTCATTGTGTTACTTCTTTTATGGACAAACGATCCATTGATTAGAACTACGCTACATTACCCTTGTTAATGCATTTTTTATAATATTTTGCGCTGGCTTAACAAACTCATTTTCTCATGGCCTTTTAACTGAACTACCATATATACACATATATAAATATGGAAGATCATAAATCTGTGCATGTTCTAGTCTAACCAAATCAAATTTAGTCCAATTGTTATGTGTACTCACTGATTGATGCCGACTGAGTATGTTTTACTATATATATTTATGATCCCAACTATTCACAGCTATGCTGGACGTGCCTGTGGAGCTTCAACTGCAACTGGATCGAAGGCCCAGCATATTCGGGAATTGAACGCCCTGCTCAACGATGCGATTTCGACTTAAGAGGAACATGCAAAGAACTTTTGGAATGTGGATCAAACTGGATGATTAACTAAAGATGAAGTGAAATTGAATATTAATTATGATTATATATTTTGTAATAGATGCGTCTTTGATACGATTTTTTCTGACGATGAAATTGTTAAGTGCATATTGTGTGAAAGTAATGAAATTTTAAATATTAGTTTAGTCAAATTGATGAAAGTGAGCAAAAAACAAACAAACAACAACTAGAACACAAAATGTTTAAAAGCTTAGCAATTAAAACAAAAAACCAACTGAAAATCCACACACCAAACAAAAACTAAAACAAAACAATCTTTAAAGTAAAGAATTCAAATTCTAGTAGCTAAAATACACAGTCACACACAAACACCCACATCAATTCTATATCTATATAGAAGAAGATAAAGCAAATACATTTTCAAAATGAATGTAACTTTATTTTATTTTTATGCTTAATTATTTATTTTATTGTATTATATATTAATTAACTATCTCAAAAAGAAAAAAAAAAGAAAGAAAAGAAAAGTCTACGAAGAAGAGAAGAGAGAAATTACTAAGTGTTTTGTTTGCCTTTTGCCTAAGTTATACAATTTTGTTTTTAATAAACGTAAAGAACATATATACTATATATATATGTATTATGTATATATACATATATGTTAGTTGACTCACTAGGGGCGAATCAACAATATTTATCAGGGACTATTTTGCATGAGTTACTAAGTATATGAAGTGTATCAGAGAATGTAATTGGGGAATGCTTTAAGTATTTTTACTGTCACAATTTTTGAATATACTTAGTGTTAAAAGAAAAATGCGATACATATACATACATACAAATACCTATATAAATATATACATCTATTTTTTGTTGGGTTCACTAGCCCGCCTGCACTCTTTTTGCAGCACTTGTGCTATAATTGATTAATCGATTTAGTACTCATATTGCATGACATATTGCACCATTTTGTCGCACCAATATTTGATATTGAACGTAGAGTGATACTAAAAAAACTTTAAAACTATTTTACTCGCGAGAGAGAGTATATAAGAGAGTATAAGTGTGTGTCAACAGAACGAAATCAGCTCTTCTACTCTATAAACCTTTTAATATTTCTAATCTTAAAAAAAAATAAGAAAAATAAACATAAATGAACCCCTACTTTGCACCAACGATAAAACTTGCTAAAAGTCTAAATCGTAAGTAGCATGTTAACATTTAAAACTTACTAACAGTTAAAAAGAAGAGTATATGTGTAAAGCGGATGAAAAATAAAGAATATATATACAATTAAGCATAAGCAAATGACTTTGATTGGGATTTACAATGCAATAAATTCTTAGAAATTACGCAGCTAGACATTAATTCAACGATAAGAAACAAACTGGAATGTTTTATCTAAAAACCTCGAGCTCATTATATTATAAATACTATACTATCAAATGTGACTAACACTATTTCTGAAACTAAACTCTTTACAATCCATGCAATGGAGCATGAGAGAGTGTCAAGAGATATGTCAAACTCTGTGTTTGTGTGAAGCTAAGTTGTGCTCTAAAGAGACTTACACTTATACTTGCACTTAGTCTATCAATATTAAGTCCTGTCTCTTTTACTTTAGGAGATTTATCATCTTTTTTATATTTATATGTATTTACATACCTATATTAATCATACGCTACTTTCAACTTACATTAAACCTACTTATAAAGCTATACAGATTTAATCTAAGGGTATGCTTATAAAATTCATACTCCTTTTATATCTTCTTAGACTCGTTCTTTCTTAGTTTTATGCCAAAGTGAACAAGTTTTACAGCTTATCAATTAGCATAGCTTTTTGGCTACAACAAGTCGTTTGTCTCGCCTAGATTTTCAGATTTTCCATAGGAACTGAAGCACGTTGCATTTTCCACTTTTCCAGTTTCCATTTTCACTGTCATTCTACATTCGCAGTATATTTGTATTCTCTGTGCGCCGCACTTTCACATCAACTAGAGCCTCTGCTATGATCGCCTTCTTCTGCTTCATCATCGTCGTCTTCTTCCTGTCTGACAACTTAGACAACACAAATTGGGCAAGTAAAACGCTCACTTTTGGCCAATTTTCACACAGGTGGGCAGCAACGAACAACTAGCCTACGGAGACACACACACGCACGTACGTATATAGTTTTATAGACAGCCATTAAAGCATTTCCATTGAACATCTTCCAGCGTTTTACTTTACTTTCTAATGTCCGGCGCAGCATTTCTTGTTTGTGCTGATCGAGCCCCTTGGGCTATAAAAAGCCGAGAGTACATTGGTAATAACATGTTTTGAATTCTTTATTGGGTGAAGTTTATATTTGCCAAAAAAAAAATGGGAGCAGCCGTCATGCATTACAGTGCTTGGCAGTATAAAGATGAGCTTAGCCTGAAAGCTCTGACTACGTCACAGCAGCGCTCTGTACACCCTGTGAGAAGCCGTAGCTCACACATTCTCCACTTAACAGAGAGCTGCGCCCACACGCTCCAGTAATTGGCAAAAGCTAATTTGCTGCGAAATCAACACCCTGTGCTAAACACTTACATATGTGTGCGCATACTTCTTAGTCCCTTTTAGTAGCGAGGCAGCTTCAGCGATAGAGAACTTCGTGTGAAAGCTCTTACGGCGAAGCACGAGCATTCGCTGCATTGGAAGTACATACATATGTATGTAAGTACTTAATTACTCTTGCAAGCTTTGTTGTGTTACAAATAATCATTGCGCCCATTTCTTTACTTACACACTGACCTTCGGGATGCGCCGCAGCAACTGAGAACTTCGCCTGTAAGCTCTAGCAAAGCGACACACTAACTGGCTACTGGCCAAGCTTTTCAATGCCCATTTCTTTATTGTAGTGTGCCTTCGTGCGCTCTGACCTCGTCGGCACTAAAGCTTCAGCAGGCAACTTCGTATCGTCGTCTGCCGTTGGCAGCATGCGCCGCTTTAGCTTTAGGTCTCGCTCACTTTTCAGTCTGTTTGTGCCCGCGAACGCGATCGTAAGAAAGCAAATAAAGCAGAAAAACGGGTCGCATTCGAACTGGGATTCCGAATCGGATTCGGACTCGCCTACGTTTTACGGTTTCGGTTCGCTTTTGTTATCGAAACCAATTGGAATTGTGCAACTGCGCTAATGATTGATCGAATGTGCTACGTTGCCCATTAAAACAAAAGTAAAAGTGTGCGCGCCACAAGATGTGGCAAATGCTGCTCAGATCATTGAAAGTGTATAAAAATTCGCATTAAAAAGCTTTTGTTGCTTTCATCTCTTATTCATAATGCGCGCTCAATTTGTGTATGAAAGAAGTCACACAATACATTGAGCCTTTATATAACAGAGCAATAAAAAAACAGTGAAGTGTTAGATTATTCATATTGTTTATCAATAGCCGTTACAGAAAAGCCGTCAAAATGTAAGTGCATTGATAAGAGTTTACTGCGATGACATACTAAATATTTAATATTAAGGGCTTAAAACAAAGAGAGTTCTGTTTCGCCTCTATTTATACAACTCTTTAATTCAGCTGATAAATAGCTGCTCTTATCGCGCAGCTACATACATACATAGCTTCTACAGAAGCCCTCTCGTATATATCTTAGCTTCCTCTGATATCGAATGTCAACGGAAATTCTCTGATTCATACAAATTGAATTTGTTGTTCAGTTTTGCTCTACTTTAATCTTGAGCCATAGGACAGCCGCTTACACATATTCATACATACACAGAAAATTGATTTATTTGTTTGTTTGTTGTTGTTTTTTTTACGCCCCTCTTTCGCAATTTACGTACTTTAGAAAGCTGCTAAAGACAAATAAAGGTTGAAACTTCTGCGAGATGCGCTGAAAGTTTTGCCCGCCGGCTAAGATTCGATGTCGAATTCGAAGTCAAACCCAAAGTCGTAGACTACACGCAATAGATCACTTAAGATCTGACATAAATCTTTGTCGTTGACTCTTTTCTATTCAATTGTTTGTTTTTTTTTTTTTTCTTCTATTTTTTTTCTATTTGTGTACAGTTGATATTTGCTTAACATGTGTCAGTACTTCCCGGTCGCCTATATATTTATGGTTATTGTCTTAAGTAGCTGAAAGTTCACTTGCGACAGTTGCAGTTGCATTTTGCAATTACACTGTGCAACAGCAATATTTATTATTGCAAGTCTTTGAGCGAATATGTGAAACTACAGGCAAAATACGAATCAATGCGAAGCGAATAGCATGATAGACAGAAAGAATGAGAGAAAGAGAGTGATAAGAATCTACTAAGTGATTGATTTAGAGAGATAAAATGTCGATCGTCAACCCTGAAAGCTTTCAGGGTTAAATAGCTAAACTCTATTCAAGTAAAAGTTAGCGAAATGGAAGGCAGAAAAATAATGATAAATCATCAAAAAATATACAGGCATCGAATTTCGATTAATCAATCAAAGCGTTAATTGTAATTGAGGCCATGAGAATCGCATAGAAAACAGCAAAGCAAATAACAAAGAATAAACAGTAAGCGCAACGGGTTTACTAATTGGGAAAACATTTATAAACAAAATAGAGTTTATCAGACTTCATATTTCTCTGCCTGATTGTGTAGCCGAGTGTTGCTTACTTATTTAACAATTTCTTCCTGTCTCATAAAATAAAAGACAAGCTGAGCAATATGGCAAACATGGGCAAGTATACGATGTTTGTACATAATCCATAAAGACAAATACAGAGACGCAAGCTGGCCTCCACTTGGATGTTGTTTATTTGTTAATGTCAATGTAATTCTGTAATAAAAACATTTGCCAAGTCTCCGTTGCTGGTCGCTCGTTTCTGCTGTTAACAAGTGATCATAATAACATAATAATATAGTTATGCAGGCAAATGATATAGTATGGACACGCACACGATATCTGTCAAGACTTCACTTTCCATTTCCATTTGCAATGAAAGTCTCTTGGGAATGAGCACACATCAAATTTGTTCACAGCTTCTTTTCTTTCATATTGTTTTTGTTTTTGATAATTATTTGGCTCAAGATTTGCATAACTATTCATGCCCGTCGAGCAGGCATGCATAGGGTATATAATATGCGAGCAGAAAAAGGGCTTGATGGTATCACGGAATATATATGGTATGATTGATCATTGTCGTTACCCTCGGCTGTAAGAATCAAATCTAAAGAATTATAAAAGCTACAGATCTGAAATTGCAGAGATAAAGACAATAGAAACGCATTTAAACCTTCTTCAGGGTATCTTTAAGTCGTGTTTCTTAATTGTTGTAATTAGATTTCTTGAAGCATTATTGTTGCCATATAATTTGGCTATACTGTGGGCGTCACATATTCGTATAATTTTGTTGTATCTGCATCTATGTATCTCATAGATGCAAAATAATCTAATAGTGGGCGCGCTGACACTTTTTGTTGACTGACTCAACGTTCAATTTAAGCTCAAATTAGCTTTATGCTAACGATACACTGGCCAAAACTATAGCACTTAAATTTCCTAGAAATCGGTCGAAAATATAGGTATTATGGCTTGCAAAAATAACTAAACGAAAAATAAGTCTAAAATATTGTGAAACAGTCCAAAGCGAAATAGCAAAAGCAGCACGTTTTTGTATACCAAAGTTAAGATTAAAACCAAAAAGAAACATTTAAGTATATATGAATAATATGAGTAATATGTATGTATGTAGAAATCTTCTATACGAATGAGAAGCTGTAAATGAAACTATGTATAAATATTGTCGTTCGTGAAGTCAAATAACAGTGTTTGGGCTTTGTGTTAAGTGTAGTTAGAAGAGTCAAAGTAAAACATAAAGGGAGAAGCAATATTGTATTTGAGACTTGCATATTCTTTCAAATGAAATATCCCAAACATTTTTGCGGATTTGGATGTAAGATCGATCACTTACTTTCAGATTCAAAACACTTTTAGTTTTTAGATTTACAACCGACTATTGCAAAGCTCAACCAAGTTTTCCTTAAACTTTAGTATTTTCCCAGCCTCTGATATTTCCTCGATTTCTGTTTTTAGCTGCTCTTTTGGTGAGTGTAGAGCAGCTGACCTGTTTTTTCCCCTGCTCAACTTTAATTTGTTTATTTTTTGTGAGTTTTTTATTTGACTGGGCATTCCTGCGGCTGTGACTCATGATCATGATCATGATCATGATCGTGGTGCCGAAGAAAGCGAATCAAGTGCTGCATGCTGGACAAACTGTTTGCAAACCGGTCAGTTACAGTGCCTCACAGAAAAGTTTAGCCATGCCATGCCACGCACGTGGCAGCTGTTTTTCCCGCTCTCGAATCTTAATTTCGGATCCGTAAGCTCGTAAATTGTAGTAGTTGTCCATGTATTAATCGCACTTGTCAGACAATGAACTTTGCTTTCGCATACAATTCGCGTCAGCAAATTTTTACTAAATGTACAGAAATATGTATA